AGAGCTAAAGAGAAACAAGCAACAATGGCATCTTTCAACTGCAGATGGAGATTGAGTTTCTTCCTCATTACGACAATGGCACTTTTTCATCAAGCAATAGCCTCTGGCTACTATAGCACCCCTAAGTTTAAAGCCATGCCTTGGAAGCTTGCTTATGCCACGTTCTATGGAGACGAGACTGCTTCTGAGACAATGGGTGCGTTACACTATAATCAATCAACTATCCCTCGATTCCAAATTAATTCAGACAGTTATTGAATTTTAGCTTGTTGTAGCAGGTAACCTACCTAATTTTTCAAGTACCTAATTCGACTCGTTATTGCAGGTGGAGCTTGTGGATATGGGAATTTGTTCAATTCTGGTTATGGAACAGCAACTGCAGCATTGAGCACAGTGCTATTTAGCAATGGATATTCATGTGGGCAATGCTTCCAAATACAATGTGTGAAGTCTAAATTTTGCTACAAAGGATTTACCACCATTACAGCCACAAATCTCTGCCCACCCAATTGGGCCCAAGACTCCAACCATGGTGGCTGGTGCAACCCGCCACGTCAGCACTTTGACATGGCTAAACCCGCTTTCATGAAAGTTGCTCAATGGAAAGCTGGCATTGTCCCCGTTATGTACCGCAGGTATGTCTTTTACAACACGTAAAACTACATTGATAATATAAATTATGTTTTTTTCTAAATCAAGATTTAAGAATCAATGTTACGGACGAGTGAGCTTGCTCTAGTAGTATAGACCTCCATCATTAACTAGTAGGTTGAAAGTTCAAGTCATGTGATTTTAAGAAATTCTTCTTAAATATTTGAACTTTTGTCCCTCTAAAGGTAATCTTGTATCNATAATCAACCAGTAGGTTAAAGGTTCAAGTCATGTAATTTTAAGAAACTCCTTAATATTTGAACTTTGTACCTCTGTAGCTAACCTTGCATTATTTCTTGCATCTCTAATTAATATGGTGTTACTTTCTTGTGATTTGCAGGGTACCTTGCATTAAGAAAGGCGGGATTCGGTTCGCATTCCAAGGAAACGGTTACTGGTTATTGGTATACGTGATGAACGTCGCTGGAGGGGGCGACGTGGAAAGCATATGGGTGAAGGGAAGCAAAACAGGGTGGATGAAAATGAGCCATAATTGGGGAGCATCATACCAAGCATTTGCAACACTTTCAGGACAATCTCTTTCATTCAAGCTCACTTCCTACACAAATCATGAAACTATTATAGCTTCTAATGTTGCACCTTCTAATTGGCATGTAGGCATGACTTACCAAGCCAAAGTCAACTTCCATTAATCATGCAATGAGTTACATATTGGCTAATGCGAATTAGTCGGGCTAGTAAATTTTGAATATCTTCCTTCTAAGCCCTTCTGCCCGTCTTCGCTATCCCTTTTCCCCCTTTTACTATCTAGGCGCCCTTAAAGGAGCGGTGCTTCTTCCTACAAAAGTCTTGCTGTAGATATATTTTACAGCAGTCTTTTAAGTTTTATTTTTGCTATCTTGTACATAGTCTTTCACTGCTGAAAGGAATGTACATTTTTTGTAATGCTGAAATAGAACAATAATATGATCGAATTGTTACTATACCATTTTTTCCGAGATTTGCATGGCTAACTTTTTCTTATGCTTACATGCCGTACGTAGCAGTCCAAATAGTGAAAAATAAAGACATTCATTTAATTATCTCATAGCTAACGAAAGCAAATTATAGCTATAATGGACGAATATTCTATCTTTTTATCTCCTCTAATCATAGGGAGAAATTCAAAAATAGTCAGATTTACAACCGGTCGTTCAAAAATAGCCAAGTTTCAAAAGTAATCGAAATTTAGCCATTTTTTATGTAAAGATAAATCTGAGCGAAAATACTATTCAAAACCCGGAAAATACGTCAGCATATTATATTGAAGTTCCAGCATAAGTATGCTTGAACTCCAGCATATTATACTGGAGTTCCAGGATAAGTATGCTGGAACTCCAACATAATATGATGAAGTTCCAGCATAAGTACACTAGAACTCCAGCATAATATACTGGAGTTCCAGCAAGTATAATTGTCCAGTATAATATACTGGAGTTTGGAGCACCGGTGCTCCAGTCTCCAGTATATTATACTGGAGTCAGCAAAGTATACCGGTCCAGCATAATATGCTGGAGTTCATACACAGGTACACCAAACTCCAGTATATTATGCTGACCGGTCTCTGTTGCAGCAAAATAGTGGTTATTTCTCATTGACTTCGTAAACGCTAGCTATTTTTGAATGACCAGTCCGAAAACTGGCTATACCGTGCTATTTTTACCTAATCATCAGGGGCGGACCCACATGGAGTCAAGTGGGTTCATATGAACCCGCTTTATCGAAAAATAACACTGTATATATAGGTATATTTTTGTTGTTTTCGGACAAGTAAAGGTATAAATATAATTTTGAACCCACTTGAAACAAGTAAAATGCCTAGCCTGTTGGTAAAGAGGGTTCAAATTTTCCACATGGTCCTGAGTTTGAAACCAGCTATTCACATATGACCTCTAATGTTCTTTTTTGAACCCGCTTGATAAAAATCCTGGGTCCGCCACAAGGAAAATTATTAAATAATTCAGAGTGAGGTGTATGAGAATTGAGAAACAAAATCAAGCTTAATTATCTAATTCCCCCGCGCTTAGTACGATTTTCTTTTTATACACTGAATGTATCCATTATAAAAGTCAAATATCATTTAAAATACTTGAGGATCTAATCATCTATTTGTAGCATAAGAATTTACATACAACATCACTTTCTCGTAACTCGATTTATTATACCTTAAACTTGAACTAGCTAGTCGAGATATCAACATGCACCATATTCTTAAAATAAAAACTTACAACATGAGATGAAATCAGAACTAGGGGTACATAGATCGGGTTGGTTCGGATTTTACAATTATCAAACCAAACCAATTGTGTCGGATTATTAAATCTAAAGACCAAACCAAACCAATAAAACTCGGATTTTTCACTCTCGGTTTTTCTCGAATTTTCTCGGATTTTCGGGTTTTTCGGGTTTTTCGGGTTTTTCCGGTAATATCTTCGTAGAACAAAACATATTATGCTCAAAATATTTCTTTAATCCTAGAAAGATACAACTATATAAAGTATTTTTCAAGAAAATAATACGAAATATGAGATGTGTAATGACATTATCCTAAAATATTCTACAATAAAGATAATAAAATTATGCAATATGAATATTGCTAATTAAAAAGCCATAATAAAAATATGCATAATCTAAAAGTACTAAGTCATGCTAAAATAAGTAGACTAATAAGGGAGTATTAATTACATGACTAAACGCTAAAGAAAAAATAAAAATAGGCTATGCATTTTTATTTAAATTATTGTAAAATAAAAAATAGATATTCAATACATTCCCGTTCGTAATATTGAATTAAATCTCTTTTTCTAGCATTATTTAATTTACTAATATTAATAGCTATAAAACTTATTGGAACATTCAAAAGTTCTAATAAGTCCAACCTTGAAATAATACCTTAAAAGATAAAATTATGAATTTTTTTAAGAAATATTTATAAATTAGATCACAATAAGTATATTTATATATTAAATATATCTAAAAATTTTATATATGTAATGTCGGGTTGATTTGGTTTCGGTTTGACTTTCTTTAGTTAAAACCAAACCACCAAACCAATTATGGTCGGGTTTTTTTTCCAACACCAAATCATATTCGGGGTTTTTTTCTCGGTTTGACTCGAATTATCGAATTGGTACGATTTATCGGTTTCTTTTATACACCCCTAATGAGAACCTAAATAACTAAGTCAAGAGCTCCGTAATTGATTCAAGACAAGGTCGTCAAACAATGGTTGATTTTTTTTATTTTGAAAGAATAGAAGTATTCAATCTATTGAATGGCTCCTTGCCACGATCAAGAATCATCCATTGGAGTGGGAGACGGTGGCGAGTGAGAATTGAACCAGCAGCCTCGTGATTACTTAGATATGCTTTTAGGCTAACCCAAATAACTGTCTACCTTACTACGTAAATTAAAAATAGCCGATAAATGTATAATATATGCATAATTTATGTATTATATATGTATAATTGTGTATAATCAATGTGTAATTAATATGGTCGGTATTTGTGTAAAAATTCCTAAATATAAATATATAAAATTATAAAACATATTTTACTTTATATGTACAACATAATATATACCTGAACCCCTTCCACCTTCTAAATCTGCCTAGGAGACATGTAATGAAACCAAAAGATAGAATATTTTAATGCCATAAGGTAACACAAAGAGACTTTTGTCTAGTTGCCCTTCATCTCACTCATTAAGCACGCCTCTTTCTTTTGGGGTTTCCCTTTTTTGACATGAATTGCCATCATCATATCCACACCCCCAAAATCATTCCTCCAGCCTTTTGTCACCTGACTCCACGCCCCACCCCCAACCACACACCCCTCCTCTCTATTCTTACATTATATTTCAACCCCCCAAAACATAATTTGAAAAGTTGCATTACTTTCAAATTATATGTTAAAGTAACAGCTCATTTTCCCTCAAAAAGTTTGAAAGAAATAAAAGAAAACTAAAGTTAGTCAAAACTTCACCACAAAGTATACGTTTACACAAATATTTCTTCCGCCTTAATTTATAGAACCTATTTGATTGGACATAGACTTTTTTTTAAAAAGAAACTTTTGAACTTGTGGTATAAAATAAGGCAAATATACTTTGTGTAACTATAAATCATTACATAAAGGTAAATTATTTTCAAATATAAAAAAAAGTTATTCTAATTTTTTGCATGGACTAAAAAGAAAATATATTCAAAACACATGGAATAGAAACTTTATTTCAAGATTATGGCCCCTAGTCTAGCTAAGAATGGGGAGAAGTCGAAAAAGGAAAAGAAAAGAAAGAAACACACTACTATAGATTTATATTGCCTGAAAAACACATATTATGAAAGAAACATCACATAGTACTTTCTCTTTTCTCCACCTTTCTCTCTGCCCCCTAAGAAAGCCCATAATCTCCATCCTATTTTCCATTTTCAAGTGCAAAAAAGCCTCTCTATTTTCCTTTTGATGATCAATGCTAGAAAAAACACAAGAATCTATACTTCATTAGGCAATTCCTTCTTCAGATGGGCTCACTTCTTTATCTATACTTGATATTAGTTTCATTGGCATTCACCGCGGCTCTTTCAAGTCAAGGACAAGGCATAAAATCAGCTCGACTTCTTGATCTAGTCCTCAGAGACTACACGTTTCGATCTTACAACAAAAACAACTTTAGAACAGCAAAATTGTACGCCATACATTTACCAGCCAACCTCACAGGGATCAGAGTCGACTCAGTTAGATATCGATGTGGCAGTTTAACAAGATATGGTGCCAAAATCAAAGAATTCAAATTACCTATTGGGGTAAGTATCCAACATTGTGTTGAAAGAGTTCTCATACTTAGACAAAATCTTGGATCCAATTGGTCTTCTATATACTATGACAATTATGAATTATCAGGTTATCAACTCATTTCACCTGTTTTAGGCCTATTAGCATACAATGCTGGTGATGATATGGTAACATCTACAACCCCTTTTGAACTTATAATTCAATCTGATAAAATTCCAATCACAATTGATTTTAGCAACACAACAAAGCTAGTAAATGATACTAGTAAATCAGGGATTATACCATTATGTGCTAGCTTTGAGCGCGACGGAAAGGTGACACTAACAAAACAAGTGTCACAAAATGTTTGTACTGCTAAAAAACAAGGACATTTTGGTTTGGTTATTGAGTCACCTCTAATGCCATTGAAAAATAAAAGGGCAAGTAATTGGAAATTAGCCATTGGGAGCGCGATTGGAGCTGCGTTGGGCGCGTTCCTTTTAGGTTTACTACTGATTGCAATATTTGTGAAGGTGAAGAAGAAAGCAAGAATGGAGGAATTGGTTAGAAGAGCATATGAAGAAGAAGCTTTACAAGTTTCTATGGTTGGACATGTGAGAGCTCCAACTGCAGCTGGTACAAGAACTGTTCCAACTATTGAACATGACTATAATCTTCATAATATTTGAATTTAATTTTTAGATTTAATTCTTTTTGTAAGCTGAACATCTTTTTGAAGTTTTTTGTACTGATACAATTGTGCTTAGGCCAAGGAAGATATAGTTAAATGCTGACCATTAATTTGTTCTCTCTGCTCTATAAATGAGACTTCTTTCCTTTTCCTATTCTTTTCCCTATGTTCTAATTTTTTTTTCCACATTAGAGATTCAGAAAAGTCCCCTGGTATGTGCCCACTTTCCTAATCAAAAGATAGGAGAGCACCTCTACTCCCGAATTCACATGATCAATTTGCGGAGTTTCTTCAGCATGATTCTCTCAAGCTTCCCTAGAATACCTTACTTGTTCGCCTATACTGATTTGGGGTACAATCAGTTTATCGGGAGGATCACCCTTGAAAACAGGTTATTTACTTTATCGTTTAGATGAGTAAATTATGTTTATTACAGACATTTATATGTTGTTGTAAGAAGGGGAACCTTGGCCGAAGGAGAGCCTTGGCGTGACTAGTAAAGTTGCTTCCATGTGATCAGGAGATCACGAGTTCAAGCTGGAGAAACAACTTACTGCTAAAATGCAAGGTAAGACTGTTTACTATAGACCCTTGTAGTCCAGTCTTTCTCTGGATCTCGCACATAGCAATAGCTTAATGCACGAGGCTGCCTTTTTTAGATGTTGTTGTAAGTCGGGTAAAGAACTTATCACTGTCAGTACATAAGCTTACTCGTATAAAATGCAAAGTGAAAAGGGATTTTCAGTGTGGGGTTTTGACTTTGAACTGTGGGATTAACAAAATGATGAACCACAATAATGAAAAATGTAAAAGCAAGCAGTAGAAATAATAAAAGCTTAAAAGCATGTTGATTTGAGTGGACAAACTTTAGAAAGAAGGGATGTCCACATTTCTTCATTACACGCTAACAATCATGAAACACATTGTGAGTAGGGGTGGTAAACAGGCGGATCGGATCGGATATGGGATGGATCGAAAACGGATAATGAAAAAACAGACAAATTATTCGAGCGGGTCGTACGGATAAAAAATAGGTTAACCGGTAAATAATATAGGTAACCATATTATCCGTGGCTTCACGAATATGATCATTTTTGAAAGAATCTAGTCTCCCAAAGTTGAGACACCCTTAATTTGAGGTTTTACAAATGTAAAAGTTAAACCCATTAGCTATCCATTTTTTATCTATTTTCTAAATGGATAATATGGTTCTTATCTATATTTGACCCGTTTTAAAAATGTTCATTATCCAACCTATTTTTTAGTGGATAATATGTGTGGTTAACTATTTTCTTTAACGACTTTGTCATCCCTGATTATGACCCAACATATAAAGTCATGTACATGAACATGATGACCATAGATCAGTCAGTTGGAGTTAAGAGTCAATATAATACGAATTTTGGATAATACAAGGATGTGACTAATACTTCCTCTGTTTCAAATTATCTGTCGTGATTTTTAAAAATAGTTGTCACACCTCCTTTTGGCCCGCATCTACAGGGGCGTAGGGAAGTTTTTTCAATTAAAGGACAATCGAAACGGGATTTATTATTTAATTCAGAGTCGCCACTTGGGAGATTTATGGTGTCCCAAGTCACCGGTTGAATCCCGAATCGAGAAAAAGATTGACTCTGTATTACAGTCCGCGAACCAGAAATCCAGATAAGGAATTCTATTAACCCGAGAGAAGGTGTTAGGCATTACCGAGTTCCGTGGTTCTAGCACGGTCACTCAACTGTCATATTTGGCTTATTTATCTGATTTTAATACATTTTGAACCTATGTACCAATTTTAACCCTGAACCGCTTTTATCATTTATTATTTAAAAAATTGCAACGTCGTGAGAATGCATCTTGAATTGCACCACATAAACGTACTCGCAATTTTTCGATATGTTCCAACTTCGTTGAGATTTGGATTTGGGTCACATAAATGTGCACCCGAGTTTAGGAAGATAACATTATTAAATACGCGCCTAAAGATACTAACGCGTTCTTATTTTGAGAAAAGCCGTAAAGTTCGCTATGCGACGTGTCTCGAAATCTAAGCATTTGAAATAACTATCCGTTGAGGGCCCCGCAATTTGTAATTTATTCGGCGAGGCACGCCTCACTTATTTTTAAAAGGGTAAGCCTAAAGCAACTATAATTTTGCTATTTTTATTGTCTCTAAAGTAAAAAAAGGTCCTAATTAATTTGTTTTAAGAGCCACTTCCCCATTTAAGAAATAAACTTATAATTAATCCGCATCGGGCCTCCGAGGCCTACCCGTGGGACAGCCGGCTTTCATCTCCAAATCCAAGCACAACTTTCCTGATC